CCCCCCCATTCCCTACAGATCTGCAGAGCATTGTGCCCCCCCCACAGAGACACATTTCACACAAGTTACTCCCAGGATTACTATAGCGCCGACATAGGCGGTAGCGTTTTACAGAATACATAACACCAGTCCCCAAAGTCCCCGTCACTAAGTGGATGACACATCCATTGCACCATGTGACCTACAAAAGGACACGCACCTCCTGAAGAGCCACATATCGGCTTAGACTGCAGAGCATCTCAATGTCATCGACAGAGGCCCGCAGAGCATTGCAACCTGCCGCCGGCAGTGGCCTGCAGAGCATTGTAACCTGCAACCGGACAGAGGCCTGCAGAGCATTGTAACCTGCAACCGGACAGAGGCCTGCAGAGCATTGTAACATGCCGCCAACAGAGGCCTGCAGAGCATTGTAACATGCCGCCAACAGAGGCCTGCAGAGCATTGTAACATGCCGCCAACAGAGGCCTGCAGAGCATTGTAACATGCCGCCAACAGAGGCCTGCAGAGCATTGTAACATGCCGCCAACAGAGGCCTGCAGAGCATTGTAACATGCCGCCAACAGAGGCCTGCAGAGCATTGTAACATGCCGCCAACAGAGGCCTGCAGAGCATTGTAACATGCCGCCAACAGAGGCCTGCAGAGCATTGTAACATGCCGCCAACAGAGGCCTGCAGAGCATTGTAACATGCCGCCAACAGAGGCCTGCAGAGCATTGTAACATGCCGCCAACAGAGGCCTGCAGAGCATTGTAACATGCCGCCAACAGAGGCCTGCAGAGCATTGTAACATGCCGCCAACAGAGGCCTGCAGAGCATTGTAACATGCCGCCAACAGAGGCCTGCAGAGCATTGTAACATGCCGCCAACAGAGGCCTGCAGAGCATTGTAACATGCCGCCAACAGAGGCCTGCAGAGCATTGTAACATGCCGCCAACAGAGGCCTGCAGAGCATTGTAACATGCCGCCAACAGAGGCCTGCAGAGCATTGTAACATGCCGCCAACAGAGGCCTGCAGAGCATTGTAACATGCCGCCAACAGAGGCCTGCAGAGCATTGTAACATGCCGCCAACAGAGGCCTGCAGAGCATTGTAACATGCCGCCAACAGAGGCCTGCAGAGCATTGTAACATGCCGCCAACAGAGGCCTGCAGAGCATTGTAACATGCCGCCAACAGAGGCCTGCAGAGCATTGTAACATGCCGCCAACAGAGGCCTGCAGAGCATTGTAACATGCCGCCAACAGAGGCCTGCAGAGCATTGTAACATGCCGCCAACAGAGGCCTGCAGAGCATTGTAACATGCCGCCAACAGAGGCCTGCAGAGCATTGTAACATGCCGCCAACAGAGGCCTGCAGAGCATTGTAACATGCCGCCAACAGAGGCCTGCAGAGCATTGTAACATGCCGCCAACAGAGGCCTGCAGAGCATTGTAACATGCCGCCAACAGAGGCCTGCAGAGCATTGTAACATGCCGCCAACAGAGGCCTGCAGAGCATTGTAACATGCCGCCAACAGAGGCCTGCAGAGCATTGTAACATGCCGCCAACAGAGGCCTGCAGAGCATTGTAACATGCCGCCAACAGAGGCCTGCAGAGCATTGTAACATGCCGCCAACAGAGGCCTGCAGAGCATTGTAACATGCCGCCAACAGAGGCCTGCAGAGCATTGTAACATGCCGCCAACAGAGGCCTGCAGAGCATTGTAACATGCCGCCGACAGAGGCCTGCAGAGCATTGTAACATGCCGCCAACAGAGGCCTGCAGAGCATTGTAACATGCCGCCAACAGAGGCCTGCAGAGCATTGTAACATGCCGCCAACAGAGGCCTGCAGAGCATTGTAACATGCCGCCAACAGAGGCCTGCAGAGCATTGTAACATGCCGCCAACAGAGGCCTGCAGAGCATTGTAACATGCCGCCAACAGAGGCCTGCAGAGCATTGTAACATGCCGCCAACAGAGGCCTGCAGAGCATTGTAACATGCCGCCAACAGAGGCCTGCAGAGCATTGTAACATGCCGCCAACAGAGGCCTGCAGAGCATTGTAACATGCCGCCAACAGAGGCCTGCAGAGCATTGTAACATGCCGCCAACAGAGGCCTGCAGAGCATTGTAACATGCCGCCAACAGGGGCCTGCAGAGCATTGTAACATGCCGCCAACAGGGGCCTGCAGAGCATTGTAACCTGCCGCCAGGGGCCTGCAGAGCATTGTAACATGCCGCCAACAGAGGCCTGCAGAGCATTGTAACATGCCAACAGGGGCCTGCAGAGCATTGTAACCTGCCGCCGACAGGGGCCTGCAGAGCATTGTAACCTGCCGCCGACAGGGGCCTGCAGAGCATTGTAACATGCCGCCAACAGAGGCCTGCAGAGCATTGTAACATGCCGCCAACAGAGGCCTGCAGAGCATTGTAACATGCCGCCAACAGAGGCCTGCAGAGCATTGTAACATGCCGCCAACAGAGGCCTGCAGAGCATTGTAACCTGCAACCGGACAGAGGCCTGCAGAGCGTTTTGTCACGCTTATACAGCTCACTTTTTTTCCCACGCTGCAGAGTATTGCTCCGCTCCAATCTTTATCCCAGGCACGGAGCGAAATCTCCCTGACCTACAAAAGCAGCGGCGGCTCCCCGCGGTTTCCCCTCCCCCTACCAATCACCCGGTGCGGCGTCGGCGGAGGGAGATCCGAATTACACAGGATCAGAATCTCCACATCAATTAGGAAACTGTCAGCGATGATCCTCGGCGCGGAGCGGCGTCTCAACCCCCCGGCCGGGCGCGCCAAGCAGAGCACAAGAGGAACGCCAAACGTACGGATTCCACGCAGGGGAATAAAAGGGGCACTCCACCCAAAACCTGCAAATTCACACACACGTCACATGATGCCTCTACATCTTTAGGCTGCTGCAGAATGGCAGTATGGCACATAGATGTCACTATGATGCGCTTCTCACAGCAGCCAATCAGAAAGCTCCATTCAGCCGCCCACGCTGCGCCGGCATCAGACGCGCTCTAGGCGGCACAAACCACGAGACGGAACTTTCGATGGCGGCGTGATGATACAAGGCGGCGTCGCTCTCACCGCCACAACACTCGCGCTCCACCCGGCGCCGCAATGATTGCAGAAGACTCTCCCCGAGGTCACGGCCGGTGTTACGAGAGCAGACAGATGACCTCGCCGCCGCCTGTGATGTCACCCGCAGCCAATCGGCGCCCTTCGGCGGATGAAAGGGCTTCTGTTCATGGGAACGTGTCCCGGCTCGCCGGCAGCCCCGAGCATTCTGGGATAGATTACGCCAACCCGGGGGCGAGTTAACCCTTCCCCCGACAACGGAGCCGCGCCGAGATTTCCTTAACCTGGCGGGCGTGCCGTCTGTGCGCGGGGGACGGGGGCGGAAAACGAGCGCACATTTACGCTGAACTTTCGCCACAGATGGATTGCAAATTGCACAAGAGATGGCGACGACGCCGGACGCATACGGCGGCTCATTGCGGCACGGAGATTATTTTCCTGGCCCTGATGTAGCCGCACCCCGTCATCCTAATCCTCAGGATTCCTCTCCTGCACGGGGCGGCATGCCTCAGCCGAAGAATCCCCGCACACAGAGGATCTGCTCCGTCCCGGGTGACGGCTGTGAGGTGACAACGTGTGGCGGCAGAGCGCCGGGGATCCCGGCCCATGGTCAACCCAGGCTCCCCGGGCCATGGTCAACCCAGGCTCCCCGGGCCATGGTCAACCCAGGCTCCCCGGCCCATGGTCAACCCAGGCTCCCCGGGCCATGGTCAACCCAGGCTCCCCGGGCCATGGTCAACCCAGGCTCCCCGGCCCATGGTCAACCCAGGCTCCCCGGGCCATGGTCAACCCAGGCTCCCCGGGCCATGGTCAACCCAGGCTCCCCGGCCCATGGTCAACCCAGGCTCCCCGGGCCATGGTCAACCCAGGCTCCCCGGGCCATGGTCAACCCAGGCTCCCCGGCCCATGGTCAACCCAGGCTCCCCGGGCCATGGTCAACCCAGGCTCCCCGGGCCATGGTCAACCCAGGCTCCCCGGCCCATGGTCAACCCAGGCTCCCCGGGCCATGGTCAACCCAGGCTCCCCGGGCCATGGTCAACCCAGGCTCCCCGGCCCATGGTCAACCCAGGCTCCCCGGGCCATGGTCAACCCAGGCTCCCCGGGCCATGGTCAACCCAGGCTCCCCGGCCCATGGTCAACCCAGGCTCCCCGGGCCATGGTCAACCCAGGCTCCCCGGGCCATGGTCAACCCAGGCTCCCCGGCCCATGGTCAACCCAGGCTCCCCGGGCCATGGTCAACCCAGGCTCCCCGGGCCATGGTCAACCCAGGCTCCCCGGCCCATGGTCAACCCAGGCTCCCCGGGCCATGGTCAACCCAGGCTCCCCGGGCCATGGTCAACCCAGGCTCCCCGGCCCATGGTCAACCCAGGCTCCCCGGGCCATGGTCAACCCAGGCTCCCCGGGCCATGGTCAACCCAGGCTCCCCGGCCCATGGTCAACCCAGGCTCCCCGGGCCATGGTCAACCCAGGCTCCCCGGGCCATGGTCAACCCAGGCTCCCCGGCCCATGGTCAACCCAGGCTCCCCGGGCCATGGTCAACCCAGGCTCCCCGGGCCATGGTCAACCCAGGCTCCCCGGCCCATGGTCAACCCAGGCTCCCCGGGCCATGGTCAACCCAGGCTCCCCGGGCCATGGTCAACCCAGGCTCCCCGGCCCATGGTCAACCCAGGCTCCCCGGGCCATGGTCAACCCAGGCTCCCCGGGCCATGGTCAACCCAGGCTCCCCGGCCCATGGTCAACCCAGGCTCCCCGGGCCATGGTCAACCCAGGCTCCCCGGGCCATGGTCAACCCAGGCTCCCCGGCCCATGGTCAACCCAGGCTCCCCGGGCCATGGTCAACCCAGGCTCCCCGGGCCATGGTCAACCCAGGCTCCCCGGCCCATGGTCAACCCAGGCTCCCCGGGCCATGGTCAACCCAGGCTCCCCGGGCCATGGTCAACCCAGGCTCCCCGGCCCATGGTCAACCCAGGCTCCCCGGGCCATGGTCAACCCAGGCTCCCCGGGCCATGGTCAACCCAGGCTCCCCGGCCCATGGTCAACCCAGGCTCCCCGGGCCATGGTCAACCCAGGCTCCCCGGGCCATGGTCAACCCAGGCTCCCCGGCCCATGGTCAACCCAGGCTCCCCGGGCCATGGTCAACCCAGGCTCCCCGGGCCATGGTCAACCCAGGCTCCCCGGCCCATGGTCAACCCAGGCTCCCCGGGCCATGGTCAACCCAGGCTCCCCGGGCCATGGTCAACCCAGGCTCCCCGGCCCATGGTCAACCCAGGCTCCCCGGGCCATGGTCAACCCAGGCTCCCCGGGCCATGGTCAACCCAGGCTCCCCGGCCCATGGTCAACCCAGGCTCCCCGGGCCATGGTCAACCCAGGCTCCCCGGGCCATGGTCAACCCAGGCTCCCCGGCCCATGGTCAACCCAGGCTCCCCGGGCCATGGTCAACCCAGGCTCCCCGGGCCATGGTCAACCCAGGCTCCCCGGCCCATGGTCAACCCAGGCTCCCCGGGCCATGGTCAACCCAGGCTCCCCGGGCCATGGTCAACCCAGGCTCCCCGGCCCATGGTCAACCCAGGCTCCCCGGGCCATGGTCAACCCAGGCTCCCCGGGCCATGGTCAACCCAGGCTCCCCGGCCCATGGTCAACCCAGGCTCCCCGGGCCATGGTCAACCCAGGCTCCCCGGGCCATGGTCAACCCAGGCTCCCCGGCCCATGGTCAACCCAGGCTCCCCGGGCCATGGTCAACCCAGGCTCCCCGGGCCATGGTCAACCCAGGCTCCCCGGCCCATGGTCAACCCAGGCTCCCCGGGCCATGGTCAACCCAGGCTCCCCGGGCCATGGTCAACCCAGGCTCCCCGGCCCATGGTCAACCCAGGCTCCCCGGGCCATGGTCAACCCAGGCTCCCCGGGCCATGGTCAACCCAGGCTCCCCGGCCCATGGTCAACCCAGGCTCCCCGGGCCATGGTCAACCCAGGCTCCCCGGGCCATGGTCAACCCAGGCTCCCCGGCCCATGGTCAACCCAGGCTCCCCGGGCCATGGTCAACCCAGGCTCCCCGGGCCATGGTCAACCCAGGCTCCCCGGCCCATGGTCAACCCAGGCTCCCCGGGCCATGGTCAACCCAGGCTCCCCGGGCCATGGTCAACCCAGGCTCCCCGGCCCATGGTCAACCCAGGCTCCCCGGGCCATGGTCAACCCAGGCTCCCCGGGCCATGGTCAACCCAGGCTCCCCGGCCCATGGTCAACCCAGGCTCCCCGGGCCATGGTCAACCCAGGCTCCCCGGGCCATGGTCAACCCAGGCTCCCCGGCCCATGGTCAACCCAGGCTCCCCGGGCCATGGTCAACCCAGGCTCCCCGGGCCATGGTCAACCCAGGCTCCCCGGCCCATGGTCAACCCAGGCTCCCCGGGCCATGGTCAACCCAGGCTCCCCGGGCCATGGTCAACCCAGGCTCCCCGGCCCATGGTCAACCCAGGCTCCCCGGGCCATGGTCAACCCAGGCTCCCCGGGCCATGGTCAACCCAGGCTCCCCGGCCCATGGTCAACCCAGGCTCCCCGGGCCATGGTCAACCCAGGCTCCCCGGGCCATGGTCAACCCAGGCTCCCCGGCCCATGGTCAACCCAGGCTCCCCGGGCCATGGTCAACCCAGGCTCCCCGGGCCATGGTCAACCCAGGCTCCCCGGCCCATGGTCAACCCAGGCTCCCCGGGCCATGGTCAACCCAGGCTCCCCGGGCCATGGTCAACCCAGGCTCCCCGGCCCATGGTCAACCCAGGCTCCCCGGGCCATGGTCAACCCAGGCTCCCCGGGCCATGGTCAACCCAGGCTCCCCGGCCCATGGTCAACCCAGGCTCCCCGGGCCATGGTCAACCCAGGCTCCCCGGGCCATGGTCAACCCAGGCTCCCCGGCCCATGGTCAACCCAGGCTCCCCGGGCCATGGTCAACCCAGGCTCCCCGGGCCATGGTCAACCCAGGCTCCCCGGCCCATGGTCAACCCAGGCTCCCCGGGCCATGGTCAACCCAGGCTCCCCGGGCCATGGTCAACCCAGGCTCCCCGGCCCATGGTCAACCCAGGCTCCCCGGGCCATGGTCAACCCAGGCTCCCCGGGCCATGGTCAACCCAGGCTCCCCGGCCCATGGTCAACCCAGGCTCCCCGGGCCATGGTCAACCCAGGCTCCCCGGGCCATGGTCAACCCAGGCTCCCCGGCCCATGGTCAACCCAGGCTCCCCGGGCCATGGTCAACCCAGGCTCCCCGGGCCATGGTCAACCCAGGCTCCCCGGCCCATGGTCAACCCAGGCTCCCCGGGCCATGGTCAACCCAGGCTCCCCGGGCCATGGTCAACCCAGGCTCCCCGGCCCATGGTCAACCCAGGCTCCCCGGGCCATGGTCAACCCAGGCTCCCCGGGCCATGGTCAACCCAGGCTCCCCGGCCCATGGTCAACCCAGGCTCCCCGGGCCATGGTCAACCCAGGCTCCCCGGGCCATGGTCAACCCAGGCTCCCCGGCCCATGGTCAACCCAGGCTCCCCGGGCCATGGTCAACCCAGGCTCCCCGGGCCATGGTCAACCCAGGCTCCCCGGCCCATGGTCAACCCAGGCTCCCCGGGCCATGGTCAACCCAGGCTCCCCGGGCCATGGTCAACCCAGGCTCCCCGGCCCATGGTCAACCCAGGCTCCCCGGGCCATGGTCAACCCAGGCTCCCCGGGCCATGGTCAACCCAGGCTCCCCGGCCCATGGTCAACCCAGGCTCCCCGGGCCATGGTCAACCCAGGCTCCCCGGGCCATGGTCAACCCAGGCTCCCCGGCCCATGGTCAACCCAGGCTCCCCGGCCCATGGTCAACCCAGGCTCCCCGGGCCATGGTCAACCCAGGCTCCCCGGCCCATGGTCAACCCAGGCTCCCCGGCCCATGGTCAACCCAGGCTCCCCGGGCCATGGTCAACCCAGGCTCCCCGGCCCATGGTCAACCCAGGCTCCCCGGCCGTGGTCAACCCAGGCTCCCAGAGGAAACGCTCAGATTTATTCAGAGCCCGCCCAGGTTTGGTTGGACGTTCTACGGTAAACCACCACGGTTAATAAAACAATGTGGCGCCGGCGGGTGAATGTTTGGGCATAGCACAGACAAATGATAAACCCTACAAGCATCAATAATCAATCATGGTCCTGGGGGAGGTCCGCCGTCCTGGGGGAGGGGCGAGCCTCATGCAGCCCCCCCATAACCCCCTAGTCCTGTCTATACCACCACATGGGGCACCTCTCACAGTCTTCCCGTAGCACGCACAGCTCCCGGCTCGCACGCTGACCTCGGACAAGTCCCAGCACATCCGACACATGAGAAGCTGTCACGGCGCCAGACGCCTCGCCCTGCAGGTGACATCACCGAGAGCAAACCAGTCACAGGACAATGATCAGCGCTCCCCGTCATACCGGGCTGGATGCCCTGGGCAGGAAGGGGTTAAATCATCTCACGTGTCACAAGAAAAAGATTTCACAAGAAAATGACAAACAATAAAAGTAAACTGGGGGGAGGGGGGTATGACCGAGGCACCTGAAACCAGCTCCGTCACCTCATCACAGGTACAGAACCATGGCGGGGGTCACCCCAGAAGATCCATGGCGGGGGTCACCCCAGAACAAAGATCCATGGCGGGGTCACCCCAGAACAAAGATCCATGGCGGGGTTCACCCCAGAACAAAGATCCATGGCGGGGTCACCCCAGAACAAAGATCCATGGCGGGGTCACCCCAGAACAAAGATCCATGGCGGGGTTCACCCCAGAACAAAGATCCATGGCGGGGTCACCCCAGAACAAAGATCCATGGCGGGGTCACCCCAGAACAAAGATCCATGGCGGGGTTCACCCCAGAACAAAGATCCATGGCGGGGTCACCCCAGAACAAAGATCCATGGCGGGGTCACCCCAGAACAAAGATCCATGGCGGGGTTCACCCCAGAACAAAGATCCATGGCGGGGTCACCCCAGAACAAAGATCCATGGCGGGGTCACCCCAGAACAAAGATCCATGGCGGGGTTCACCCCAGAACAAAGATCCATGGCGGGGTCACCCCAGAACAAAGATCCATGGCGGGGTCACCCCAGAACAAAGATCCATGGCGGGGTTCACCCCAGAACAAAGATCCATGGCGGGGTCACCCCAGAACAAAGATCCATGGCGGGGTCACCCCAGAACAAAGATCCATGGCGGGGTTCACCCCAGAACAAAGATCCATGGCGGGGTCACCCCAGAACAAAGATCCATGGCGGGGTCACCCCAGAACAAAGATCCATGGCGGGGTTCACCCCAGAACAAAGATCCATGGCGGGGTCACCCCAGAACAAAGATCCATGGCGGGGTCACCCCAGAACAAAGATCCATGGCGGGGTTCACCCCAGAACAAAGATCCATGGCGGGGTCACCCCAGAACAAAGATCCATGGCGGGGTCACCCCAGAACAAAGATCCATGGCGGGGTTCACCCCAGAACAAAGATCCATGGCGGGGTCACCCCAGAACAAAGATCCATGGCGGGGTCACCCCAGAACAAAGATCCATGGCGGGGTTCACCCCAGAACAAAGATCCATGGCGGGGTCACCCCAGAACAAAGATCCATGGCGGGGTCACCCCAGAACAAAGATCCATGGCGGGGTTCACCCCAGAACAAAGATCCATGGCGGGGTCACCCCAGAACAAAGATCCATGGCGGGGTCACCCCAGAACAAAGATCCATGGCGGGGTTCACCCCAGAACAAAGATCCATGGCGGGGTCACCCCAGAACAAAGATCCATGGCGGGGTCACCCCAGAACAAAGATCCATGGCGGGGTTCACCCCAGAACAAAGATCCATGGCGGGGTCACCCCAGAACAAAGATCCATGGCGGGGTCACCCCAGAACAAAGATCCATGGCGGGGTTCACCCCAGAACAAAGATCCATGGCGGGGTCACCCCAGAACAAAGATCCATGGCGGGGTCACCCCAGAACAAAGATCCATGGCGGGGTTCACCCCAGAACAAAGATCCATGGCGGGGTCACCCCAGAACAAAGATCCATGGCGGGGTCACCCCAGAACAAAGATCCATGGCGGGGTTCACCCCAGAACAAAGATCCATGGCGGGGTCACCCCAGAACAAAGATCCATGGCGGGGTCACCCCAGAACAAAGATCCATGGCGGGGTTCACCCCAGAACAAAGATCCATGGCGGGGTCACCCCAGAACAAAGATCCATGGCGGGGTCACCCCAGAACAAAGATCCATGGCGGGGTTCACCCCAGAACAAAGATCCATGGCGGGGTCACCCCAGAACAAAGATCCATGGCGGGGTCACCCCAGAACAAAGATCCATGGCGGGGTTCACCCCAGAACAAAGATCCATGGCGGGGTCACCCCAGAACAAAGATCCATGGCGGGGTCACCCCAGAACAAAGATCCATGGCGGGGTTCACCCCAGAACAAAGATCCATGGCGGGGTCACCCCAGAACAAAGATCCATGGCGGGGTCACCCCAGAACAAAGATCCATGGCGGGGTTCACCCCAGAACAAAGATCCATGGCGGGGTCACCCCAGAACAAAGATCCATGGCGGGGTCACCCCAGAACAAAGATCCATGGCGGGGTTCACCCCAGAACAAAGATCCATGGCGGGGTCACCCCAGAACAAAGATCCATGGCGGGGTCACCCCAGAACAAAGATCCATGGCGGGGTTCACCCCAGAACAAAGATCCATGGCGGGGTCACCCCAGAACAAAGATCCATGGCGGGGTCACCCCAGAACAAAGATCCATGGCGGGGTTCACCCCAGAACAAAGATCCATGGCGGGGTCACCCCAGAACAAAGATCCATGGCGGGGTCACCCCAGAACAAAGATCCATGGCGGGGTTCACCCCAGAACAAAGATCCATGGCGGGGTCACCCCAGAACAAAGATCCATGGCGGGGTCACCCCAGAACAAAGATCCATGGCGGGGTTCACCCCAGAACAAAGATCCATGGCGGGGTCACCCCAGAACAAAGATCCATGGCGGGGTCACCCCAGAACAAAGATCCATGGCGGGGTTCACCCCAGAACAAAGATCCATGGCGGGGTCACCCCAGAACAAAGATCCATGGCGGGGTCACCCCAGAACAAAGATCCATGGCGGGGTTCACCCCAGAACAAAGATCCATGGCGGGGTCACCCCAGAACAAAGATCCATGGCGGGGTCACCCCAGAACAAAGATCCATGGCGGGGTTCACCCCAGAACAAAGATCCATGGCGGGGTCACCCCAGAACAAAGATCCATGGCGGGGTCACCCCAGAACAAAGATCCATGGCGGGGTTCACCCCAGAACAAAGATCCATGGCGGGGTCACCCCAGAACAAAGATCCATGGCGGGGTCACCCCAGAACAAAGATCCATGGCGGGGTTCACCCCAGAACAAAGATCCATGGCGGGGTCACCCCAGAACAAAGATCCATGGCGGGGTCACCCCAGAACAAAGATCCATGGCGGGGTTCACCCCAGAACAAAGATCCATGGCGGGGTCACCCCAGAACAAAGATCCATGGCGGGGTCACCCCAGAACAAAGATCCATGGCGGGGTTCACCCCAGAACAAAGATCCTCCCCACCACTCCGACTCTCATCACACCCCGAGCAGAGGTCACCCCACCACTCCGACTCTCATCACACCCCAGCGTTGGCGGTATGAGCAGCGTAATGTGTTGCCGGCGGGTGTGACTGACCCCCGAGCTCTGCCGGGAAAGTTAAAAATAAAAAAAAACTTAATTTAGGAAAAAATATCTAAAAGCATCCCGGCTGTGCACGTGACC